ATAAGCGCCTGGGCCAGGGATGAAGACAAGAGCCTGCCGTCTGTATGGTTCCCCAGGCCGTCCTGGGGATGGAAGTGGAGACCAAGGGCCAGCAGGAATGGCTTTCAACTGTCTTCGGTTTACCATTTTATAGACTTAAAGCTAAGGCTTAGAGAGCTTTCCAGCTTGGCTTCCGGCAACAGCCGGCTGCAGGGACTTGTTCTTTCTCTTGGGCTACCTCGGGTATTTGGTGCAAGATCCCTCCAGAGAAAGGTTGTGCATCCTGGCTTTGGGACACAGCACGTGAAAAGTAACAGTGTTTTAGAAGAAGCAGTATGTTTTTTCACAGCTTGCAGATTTGCAAGGTAAAAATGATTCCTGTAGCGGGTAGCAGGCAAAATGATACCTATGAAATATGAGTGACTACCCCATTACTGCCTTTTTAATAAGGGGTATCCCTAGACAAAAGAAAGAGGCAGTGTTTTGGAGGCCGGGTCTGCCTCAGGAGGCAAGATTGCCTTGGTTCTTATCCAGCCTTCATTTTGTGACCTTGGGCAAGTTACGTAACCCCTCTGACCCCGCACCTTCCGTAACCAAAATAGGCATGGTCATAGTATCTGTTTCCCAGGGTGGCTGTGGACGTTAAAGACCCCCAACTTACAGAGAATGGCACCTGGCATAAGGGAATCCTTCAACACAATTTTTAAAAAAATATTATGATTGATACTCTGTCAGATCCAATACTTCAAGATTTATATACATTATTTTATTTTACCTTTCAAGAACTCTTAAGAGTTGGGGAATGTTTTCACCATTTTACAGATGAGGAAATTAAGGTTCTGAAAGGTTAAATACTTTAACAACCTATAGCTTGTAAGAAATAAAGAGGAGGCAGCATCTTTGCCCAAGTGAGTCTTGTACCGTGATTGGAAATGTTTTCATTAACTGTTCTTATGAGGAAATATTCAAAGAAGCCTTTATGTTAATTTCAAATGAATCTTGCAATGGCTATTAATGTACCTCCCACTTAGAATTCCAGGGTGGGAGGACCTTGCCTGGCTTGCACCCCCTGCTTCCCAATAGTCGATGTTCTTGGATGGTGTCCTCTGCAATGAGCCTGCAGAGACATCTGGAACATTCTAATGTAAGGCAGAGTGGGCAGTGTCATTCCACCCAGATAATTTATTTTTATTTTTATTGAGACGGAGCCTTGATCTGTTGCCCAGGCTGGAGTACAGTGGTGCAATCTCGGCTCACTGCAACCTCCTCCTCCCAGGTTCAAGTATTCTCCTGTCTCAGCCTCCCAAGTGGCTGGGATTACAGGCATGTGCCACCATGCCTGGCTAATTTTTTGCATTTTTAGTAGAGACAGGGTTTTACCATGTTGGCCAGGCTGGTCTCGAACTCCTGACCTCAAGTGATCCACCAGCCTCGGCCTCGCCTCACAAAATGCTGAGATTACAGGCATGAGCCACAGGGCCTGGCCCCACGCAGAGAAATTTGACCTCTGCAGGACTATTTATAAACTCTGTGTGTCTCTTTGCACATGACTTGCCCTCAGGCCCCCAATAAAAGACGATTGTTCATTTTTCTAGAAATCTGCATTTATCTAGTCTGGAAAGCAAGTGACAGGGGCAGGGGAATTGAGGAGGGATAGATCCTTGTCCCCTATTAGTGTTTGGTGAAAAGCTGTAGTGAATGGAGGGAAGAGTGGTCCAAGAGCCAGAGAACTCTCCTGTCTTGGCCCGGGGCAGGCACAAGGTGGCAGGAGAAAGCTCCTTCACTATCCACATCTCCACATCAGAATCCCCTGTGAAGTGTTTGAGGATTGGCCCCGTTCATAGGAAATAAACGTATCTGGAGTGAAGAGAGAACTGCCAGGATGGTCTCATTATAGTCCCCACACCTACCTTCCCAGATGGCTA